TTGCCACGCAGGAAGGGCCAGTTGGCCGTTGGTGGAGACTTCTGCCAGTATCTGGGAGGAGAGGGGAATTCCGAATTTACTGGAAAGAGTAAAGGCCAATCTCTCTCAGGAAAAGACCTGAGACAGCTTTTCTTTCCCAGCGTCTCCACCATCCTCCCAGGAGACTGCAGGGGAACTTGGAGATTAGTCACTCCTGTGCACTGATTGCTCACTCGGATAGAGGGACGCTGGTCTCTCCTGGGCTGTATTCTCAGAAACACAGGTGTTCCAGAACCAAATTCACCATCCTTTCATATACGAGGGCTCCTGAGTCCCCGTTTCCGTGCATGGTCTGGTCCTGGTCCTGTTCCCCCCACCACCCCCACCCCCCACAACCTGTCTTTCCCGCATGTGCCAGCACCTGCCACCTGCAAAACCAGTCAAGGGAACCAGGGACTTGGAGATGCCACCTTGACCACAAAGCGTCACTGATCTCTGCCCTGGCCAATAGGCCCCTGAGGGACTAGGTGAGATTATCCGGACAAAGAAGGGGAAGATGACTCTGTAAATGGATACGGGTGAAGATGTGGAGTGGTCCAGCCCTCAATGAGGTGTGGCAACCTGGCTGACAGCCCTCGTGCTGCCTACCTGAGCAACCCCATATGTGGTGCTTAATCCGTGACACTCTGTCTGCTCAGAAATCTGCCATCTCTCTCATGCCCATGGCTCTTTTCTGCTCCCTTCGCAGGGAAGGCTGGGCTGGGATTCCCTGGTGACTGCCTCCTGACCTGTCTGACAGACAGGTGACGCTGGCCGGCGTGTTCAGCTAGAATGCCAGTGCGTGGCGCCTCTGAGTAGGAAAGCTGGGAGTCAGGGAGTTTCTGTGTCTGTTTTCGGGATTGCCCCAGTGGCCACAGGCATCACTTCTGCTTCAAATCGCCCAGTAGGCCCTAGGGAATGCACAGAGAAGGGACCTGCTGATAAAGTTGTGCCATTGTCCTAGCCTCTGAGGCGAATGTGACCACCTCAGTCCATGTAACCATGCAGAGCAGGGACTGAGACCTGCAGCCCCTTGGATGCCACGCCAAGGACACTGGTTTGTACCAGTTTGAGGTGTGACCTGCTGACATCTGCCTTTGAGAAAGCTCTTCCTGGGGTGGTGGCTGGAAGAGCTGAGTGTTCCCAAGCGAGGCCTGTGAGAAGCTGATGCCGTGACCTAGGACAGGGTGAGGCGTAAGCTGAGGCGTGGTCGGGAGAAACCATAGGGCCGAGCAGAGGCATGAATGCTGGCTGGTGAGAAATAAGAGCTTCACGTGGTGTCTGGCTTGGGAAAATGAGGTGCTGGAGAGTGACAGGAAGCTGGAGGGTTGGCCAGGAAGTTGGTGATCCAATTCAGCAAGTGGTTAGTCAAAGAACCTGAGAGTACCCAAGTGGACATGTCCAAGGAAGGTGTGATGGACTTGCATGTAAATATCTGGGAAACATCTGGATGAGGGTCTGAGAAACGGGTACCATCAGCAGATGGGCAAATGGGTTTGGTCCTGAAGGCAGAAAGGGCGTCATGTCCAGAGAAGAGGACTTCAAATGAAGTTTGGGCCACTTGTTTGTAGGGGATGTTCAGAAGAGAAAGATCCTGCAAGATGATCCCAGATGAAAAATTGCCTCCTCCTGGGATCTGACCTGGGCAGGAGTTCCAGGGCTCAGGGAGCTTTGCTGTACAGGAAAAAGTCAGGCCCGGACAGGCACTCTCCTGCCTGCCCATCACTGTCCCCCACATTTCCCATAGCTCTTCCTTGCCTCTGATCTTCCACGCATTTCACAATGGCAATTCCTAAGAATTGGGGGTGTTTTATTTGGGGCTTCCCCTAATCTTCACACATCACTCTGTTTTCATACCTAAGTGTGATCTCTAACTAGTCACTGGGTCTCAAGTTGTACATGTGGGGCTTATTTCAGGGAATCGTTCTGTTCAAGAGGCCTAATTTGGGGTTATGCTTTTTTTTTTCTTTGAGTTACAGCCAGCAATGCTCAGAGGTTACTCCTGACTCTGCACTCAGGAATTACTCCTGACGGTGCTCAGGGGACTATATGGGATGCTGGGGATCAAACCCGGGTCCACCGGGTGCAAGGCAAATGCCCCCCAGCCCCACGGTTATGTTTTAAACATTCTCCACCCCTTCTCCCTGGGTGACTTTAAGTCAAAGTTAGGGACCGCCTCTTCGGGAATCAGAGAGACAGTGCAGCAGGTACGACTCTTGCCTTGTGCCTGGATGACCTAGGTTCAATCTCCAGCACCACAGGAGTGATCCCGAGATTACCACTGGGTGTGGCCCCAAAGCAACCAACTGAAAGAAACACCTCTTCACAGTCGGGAAACTAAAGAGCCAGGAGATGCAGGGAGCGACTCACTTGTTAGAAGCAGCAGAACTGAGCCACACCTAAGCCCAGAACCTTCTATGTGCAGGGGAGCTTTTTCTCTGGATTTCAGTTACCCCATTTGTAAAATTAGATTGTTTTCAAAATCACCATCATTTCCAAATGCTATGAATGCCATCAGTGAAAGGTGTCTACTGTAGGGTAGAGGAGGTGAGAACAGGCTTCTGTGGCCTGAGGTAGAGAGAGACCAGACTTTCAGACTGCTGGGGGGGGGGGGGGGAGCTTGTGGCACGTGATCCACCTATGCTACTTTTTTTTTTTGCATTTTGGGTCACACCTGGCGATGCACAGGGGTTACTCCTGGCTCTGCACTCAGGAGTTACTCCTGGCGGTGCTCAGGGGACCATATGGGACGCCGGGAGTCAAACCCGGGTCAGCCACGTGCAAGGCAAACGCCCTACCCGCTGTGCTATCTCTCCAGCCCCTCCACCTATGCTATTTTAAATTAAGATTCTTGTTGAAAGAAAGAATCCTGACTCTGGATAGGAAGCTGAGAGCAGCATCCTTGGAGGGTGGGACCCTGGGGCCATGATTCATGGGGTAGGGGCAAGTTTCCACTGCCTCCTGATGAGGGGGGGGGGGCTGGGGCAGGTGTCTGGGTTTGGGGGTGTGCAGCCTCCTCACTGGGTCTAAGACTGTGAGCCAGGATGGTGCCATCTTAGTAGCCACAGCGGATTTCAGAAAGGTCCTGTCCTGGCCTGGAGCAGGCCGAGGGTCAGCTCTGCTATACCAGAAACGGAAATGATGATTATGGCAGAGCCAGTGCCACCCTCATGAGCGCACAGCCCTTCCACAAAGGGAAGAGCTTAGCCAGGCTTTAAAACAGAGCAGCCCACCTTCCCGAGGGCAACGGTGCCATCTCCACAAAACTCCTCCCAGGGGACTCCAAAATGGGGGCACCCATCCTCAGAAACTGAGCTGGGGTCCACCAGTCCTGGCCTATGCTCTGCCCAGGGCCCCCTGAGTAGCACCCACGGCACAGCCCCCGGTGCTTGGACATGTGTGCAGACAGGGCCTCCCCTCAGGGAGTGGCCACAGAGGCCCCTAGCCAGAGGTGATGCCAGGCTGAGGAAACACTGGGTGACCCTTGAGGGTACTCGATGTGGCCTCAAAGGATGGGGGGGAGAGAAACACGGACCGTGAAGGAGTGAAGCAATAGGACCTGAGGACAGTGGGGGTGGCCTGGGCTGGTTTCAGAGTGTATTGGTCCTTTGGGGCCAGGAGGGCAGAACCACAGCCCATAGGCACCAGGATGCTGCCTCAGAATCAGGCTCCTTCCCTGTTGTTCCCTAATATTGAGCCTGTAAATAGGAAAGGCTGTCATTTCCCTCTCAAGGGACAGAGAACATCACTTACATACCTACACATTGCTTATGCTACTGCCATGGTAGGCATTCAACACATATTTATTAATGTAAGATGGAATGAGTTAAGTATCTGAATGAGTAAATATAAGAATTAAAAAAAGTCTCTTCACAGCAGCCGAAGGATGCAGCCAGTTTTATATCATGAAATACTTAGTTTAAACATAGGGAAAAATTCGAGAGACAGTGTGTTTATGATGTGAAGCTGCTTCCAAGAGAATTTATGGAATGGCCATGTCTAAGGATCTTCGAACGTTTGGTAATCATCATCATTCTTAGGTTTCTAAACTATGATGGTCTGGGAGGATGAAGACCCAATTTCCTATTCCTCGCCTTCTATGACAGAGTCTTCACCTGTGAGTTGCCTGTTCCAGAATATTCTTTGCAGAATTCCTGTCTTCAGGGCAGTGAGCAGAATTTGGTGCCTTGAAAGGGGTGCCTTTCAGCTGGAGTAGTGAAGGGATCACTAAACAAATGAGGGTTGGAGGAATCGGTCGGGATGGGAGATGTGTGCTGAACGTAGATAAAGGACCAGACATGACAACCTCTCAGTATCTGTATTGCAAACCATAACGCCCAAAAGTAGAGAGAGAGTATGGGGAATATTGTCTGTCAGGGAGGCAAGGGGAGGGTGGGAAAGGGAATACCGGGAATATTGGTGGTGGGGAATGTTTACTGGTGGAGGGATGGGTGTTTGATCATTGTGTGATTGATGGTAACTCAAACATGAAAGCTTGTAACTGTATCTCACGGTGATTCAAAAACATAAAATAAAACTGTGTAAACACACAAAGAAGGACGGACAAAGGGACGGCAGCAGCCTATCTCTCCTGCCGCCCGCGTTCGGAAGTCTCAGGCTGTTGTTTCCCCATTCCAGGAAGGTCCCCAGGCTCAACCTCAAGTTCCATGCTTGAGCAATAAAGTAAAATAAAATAAAGTGGTGCCTTTCCACCTGGGAAAGCTTGCTTGCGTCGGGTGCTTTATGACCTCATAGAACATGCACATGAGTCTGTCTCCCTAATACCTGGGGGAAATGCAAAGGGCCACTCCCAGCTGCTTCTCCACCCCCCACCCCCCCACCCCCCCCACCCCCAGTTTGGCTGTGCCACCGTGATGAGCGTGGTCAGGGATGATGGGAACAGCTGGGACGGACCGCAGTCGCCAGTGGGTGCGGTCGCCCCGCCTGCCCCACGTGCTAAGCCCGCTCTGCCTTTCGTGCAGGTCTTTGTGCTGTGCCACGGGCTGCTGCAGCTCTGCCAGCTGCTCTACAGCGCCTACTTCAAGAGCAGCCTCACCACCATCGAGAAGCGCTTCGGCCTCTCCAGCTCCGCCTCGGGCCTCATTTCCAGCCTGAACGAGGTAAGCAGGAGCCCTGGGAGCGGACCCCAGGGCGCAGCAAGGGGGCGCCGGGGGTGCAGCCCCAGACTTCCCCATACCCACGTACCCACGCTGAGCTCAGTGCACAGGTGGGCCCCCACCCGCCCACCCCGCCACTTCCAGGTGGCCCCGTCGGCTTCCTCCCCTCTGCTGGGACCCCAGACCCGGCAGCTCCCTGCTGCAGCCTGATTGCCAGAGCCAGAACAGCTCGTGGCCAGACCTTCCAGCCACGGGCTTTCACTCCGGCAGTGCCTTAGGCTTGCGAAGTGGGCCATGGAGGTCACACACTTGCCTCGCCAGCAGCTGACCCCAGTTTGAGGTGTGATTCCGGGCACTGCGTGTGGTGCCCGGAGCGAGCCCAGAGCACTGTGGGGTCTAACCCCCAAACAAACAAAAAGCGGGCTTCAAAGACTTACAGGAAAGCAGGGTGGGGCTGGGCTTGGGGGGCGTCCAGTGAGGCTGGCCAGCGGGCCAGGCCACCTGGAGGAAGAGGCAGGAGTCCACGTCGCGCCTGTCGTCAACAGCTGCACTGGGGAGATGGCGCTCAAGGCCTGGCTTCCAGCTTCTCTCTAGTCCCACCAGAGGCTCCGAGTGGGTGGGACCAGAACTAGATCTGGCCCCAACCTGGTGAAACTCAGGCCCAGGGGAAGTGGGAGACAGGCTCCGTCCACAGCTCCAAGGAGACCTAACACCCATTGAACTTTCAGCGTCCCTGACTCCCCCACCTACTCCCCAGCAGGAGAGGCCCTTTGAATGCTGCCTCCTCCTTGGGTGGGACACCCAGCAGTGCCCCTTCTGAGCCCCACTCACGCCAGGCCCGGCTGCAGGGCCAGGAGGAAGGGTCTCGGCATCATTGTGTCTCTCAGATGAGGAAAGCTCACCCCCACCCCTCCAGCCCAGCCCTGTTGGCCCCACATCACCTAAGCATTTCCTGTTCCACCTGGAGCCTTGGGGCACCCACGCCTGTCTGGTGCCTCCCTCAGAAACCTGGCGCCCCTTCACCATCCATCCCAGGGCCTTGTCCAGCGCCCTGCACTGCCCATGTGTAACTCTCCAAACACAGGGTAGAGTGTGTGTAGGTGCCCCTCTCTGCCAGCACCCCCACCTCCAACACACACACACACACACACACACACACATACACACACACACACAACTGCTTCTCTGCCCCACAGCATGTGTGGCCATAAACAGACATCCCCAGGGACTTCCTGAACTTTCTCCCCTGAACTCCGAGGCCCTGGTCTTTGACCTTCTGTGTGTATCTCTGTGTGTAATGTCTGTGCGTCTATCTGTCTGGCTGCTTCCTGATGATGCTCATGACTCGGTCCATCTTTCCAGGGGAGAGAGAGTAAGGACAGGAGGGTCGGGGGCTTCCCATTAGCTGTGAGTCTAACATTCACCTCGCTCCCCCTATCTCACACCACAAGGAAACTCTCTTTCAAACTTCCCCATTTCCCTCCAACCCAAGTCTAGAGACCGCTTTACACAACAACCCAAACTCATATCCCCCTACCCTCGTACCCCTCATCCCCTCGCTAAGCCCCCGGGCAGCTCCCACCCTCTCGGGGGAATCAGACCCAGACCCCTCTCCCCTGGTGTGCTTGTCCTTGTCTTGAGTGCGTCCCTCACATAAGTATCCTGGGGACATTTCAGGCCTCTCCCCATTGCCACTGCACCAGACCCCAAGAGCCGAGGGCTAGGTAGGTGTCCCTCCTTCTGGCGCCCGGACCTGGCACCTCTTACCCACAATGCACCATTCTAGGACTTGAGAAACGCTGCAAGCAAATGTCTCCTCTCAGGAGGACACAGGACGCTCATATCTCTGATGTGTCCCCACAGTTAAAGCCCGAGCCCCTGCTAGGCCTCAATGATGACCCACCGTCCTTTCCCACACCCCCGCCCCCAGCCCTCCGCAGGCCAGTGTGGGGTCCTTTTCAGCAGGTTCTAGCTCAGAGAGGAATGCAGAGCCTCTCCTCAAGCCTGGATCAGATGGGCCCTGCCTACCGCCCCCTTCAAACGGGACAAACACCAATCACTCCATACTCCCTGGGAATCAGGGAATGAACAGAGAGCCTCTAATCCACCTGCCTCCGACACTGGTCCTGTGCCCCCGAGGGTGGTGTCCCCTACCCAGGGAGAGAGAGACTGGCTTAGATCAGTCTTTCTCCTGGGGCTGGAGCCGTAGCACAGTAGGTAGGGCATTTGCCTTGCAGGTGGCCGACACGGGTTCGATTCCCAGCATCCCATATGGTTCCCTGAGCACTGCCAGAAGTAATTCCTGAGTGCAGAGCCGGGAGTCACCCCTCTGCATTGCCAAGTGTGACCCAAAAGGGAAAAAAAAATGAAGTTCCTGTTTGCCTCCACAAACCTAGATGAGCTTTTTGAATTTGTTTCTTTTGGAGCCAGAGCTGGTGGTGCTCAGGGCTTACTCCTGACTCAGTGCTCAGGGATCACTCCTGGCAGTGCTGAAAGAATGATATGGGATTCCAGAGATCAAACCCTAGGTCAGTGGCGTGTCCAAGACAAGCAGTCTATCTGCTGTACGACCTCACCACCCCCTTACATGAGCTTTTCAACCCTCTGGGTTGAGGCCAGGCCTTTGGGAATGGTTTGAGTTAAAGAAAATTCATCTCTCTGCCTTAATGATCTTGTCTGTGAGTGTCTGAGTGTGTTTGTGTCTGTCTGTATCAGTGTATCTCTGTGACTGTGTGTGTGACTGTGAGTCTACCTGTATGTCTCTGTGTGTCTGTGTAATTGGGAATCTTTGTTTCTGTGTGTCTGTGTAATTGCATGTCTGTGTTTCTGTGTTTATCTGTGTCTGTGTGTCTGTGTGTCTGTGTGTCTGTGTGTCAGTGTGAGTGCTTCTGTACAGGAACATTCCCATCTCTGTCTGTCTGTCTGCCTGAGGAGGGGTGGAGAGCTGAGTGCATGAAGCTGAGACAGGAATCAACTAAAGAATTCAGCTGTCCTCACTGGACTCTGATGCAGGCATCTGAAAACAGACCACACTGTGAAGTAGGGGTCATCCCTCAACACAGGGAGCAAGACTGGGAACTTCCCTGTGGAGACGGAGTCATCGGTTGTTGTGTGGCAGGCAGGCAGGAGCCAGCGTGGCTGCCTGAACAGCTCTGAGGCCAAGTAGTTTTAGCACAGCCGCTGGCAGAGACAATTGGGAGACCTTGAAGTCTGGGACAGAGACAGGCTGGAAGTTCATGCCATTGAGTCAGGCTTGGGAATTTGGGGGAAGAAGAGTACTCCAGTAGGAGGCAAAGATGACAGCTCCTCGAGTACAAGATTGAAAGCACTGCAGATCGTGGGAAGGAGGCATCCCCACACCCAGGGGAGGGGAAGAGAGAGATTTGGGTGTGAGGGAAACAGGTAGATGTTAGGTATGGGGGGGGCGCAAGGGGAGACGGGTGCTAGAGAAAGAGAGAGAAAGAGAAAGAGAGGGAGGGAGGGAGACAGAGGTTGTGTGGGGGCAGATAGGTTGGAGTGTGAGGAGAGACGGTTGTATATGTGGAGGGGAGACAGGTGTGTGGTGTGAGGGAGACAGGTGAATATGAAGGGAGACAGATGTGTGTTTGTATGTGTGTGTGTGAGAGAGAGAGGAAAGGGGATGTGAAGGGAGATGAGTGTGTGTGAGGGGAGGCTGGTGGGGGTGTGAGGCGAGATGGGTGTATGTATGTGAGGGGAGACGAGCGTGTATGAGGGGGAAACGTGTTTGTGAGAAAGAGGGTGAGAGAGAGAGAGAGGTGGGTGTGATGGGAGAGAGGTGTTTTGGGTGTGTGAGGGAAGAGAGGTGGGTATAAGAGGGGAGACAGGTATGTGTGTGAGGGGAGACAGGTTTTGAGTATGTGAGGGGAGATACTGTGTGTGCGTGAGGGGGAGCAGGCTAGAGGTGAATGACCTGTCGTAGGAACTGCATCTCCACTGACAGAGGATATGGGATACTTGGCTTCTCTTGACCGCTGCCAACAGTCAGACCTGAGCGAGCATTCCCCCTCTGAAATTCCCCCACTCCCTTAATATCACCACCGGTTTGCCCTGGTTCCTTTTTGATTTGCAGTACTGACAGGTAGGAGTGAGTTACAGCCGGGTTTTGACAGCCTTCAGGTGGGGTGCTGTAGCTCCACTGAGCATTTTAGGCATCTTTTGAGCTTGAGTTGAGCTTGGATTACCGTGGCCCACTCCTCTCAGCTGACTGGCTCCCAGACCCTGATCTGAGCCGCCTCATCCATAGAAGCTGTGGAGGATCAGTTTCTCTCAGGCAAACAAGCTCAGGCCCTGCAGTGTGCTGGAGAGGCTTCTGCAAGAGGTGGGGCTCCCGGCAGCCCTGGTAGTTTCTCCTTGAGTTCCTTGGGGACCTCCCTCCCTGCCCCTAGACCTTTGATGTCTGCCAATTCTCATAGCTGATTCGCTGAGACATTTACACTCTTTTTAGGAACAGTGATGGGGAAACTAGAAGGAAATTCGTCACATCGAAGAAGCATGGAGGATAGATTTAGTTTCGAAGTTCAGGTCTCGAATGTCCTAGAACCTTATTTGACTGGAGCCGCTCTCTAGACCAGGCTCTCTCTTCACACACCTCACCTCCCAAGGACCGCATCCCCATTTGAAACCCACATTTGCTCATTCATCTAGTCACTTTGGCTTCCCAGTCAGCGGGAGACTGGGATGGACAGGATGGGGTCCTGGGTGGTGACACCCAGCCACTTGGGGGAGCAAACAAGCCGGGGTCGAGGGGCAGCCCTTTCTTGGGTGGAGGCTTAATCAGACCATGCGGCTCTCCGCCACCATCCCTGCCCCCCTCCCACCATCTTCAGCGCCCCTCCCTGGCGTGACAGAGCTCAGGAAACATTTCCAGGGAATGGAAGTCACCCAGATTTGCAGCCAGAAAGGGCCTTAGGGGTGCAGGGATTCTACGGGTGGAAGCAGGCGTCCAAGAGGCCAGCCTAATTGGGTCGTTACAGGCAGGCAGATTTCTGCCTGTCGCCCCCCAACATAAACGGAGCAAGTTACTGGGATTTTTTTTTTTTTGGTAACAGTGCCAGGGGTCAAACTAGGTATCGAGGTGCAAGGCATGCTTTATACCATTCCAGCTACACCCCTAGACCCAAATTCCTGGGTATTCTGAGCCCCAACTTTGTTGTGGGTAGACAGAGGTTCACATGATGGACTGAGACAGTGCCAGCCTTGGAGAGGAGGTTTTGACTACTGGGCCACAGTCCTCGGGGAGCACTGTGGTCAGGGAGAACTTCCTGTTCCTCAGAGCTAGCTGGGATTGGAGGCTGCCTTGGATTGTTCCCCAGAGGTCTTGGGCCTCAGAGCAGAGAGGTTGAGGTTGGAAGCTTCTCTTTTTCTTCAGCTCCTCCCTCAGGCTGGTCCAGGGAGGTGAGAAATGGCTGCCTCTGGTCTCTGCCTGTCCTGGTCAATGTAACGACCCCATTAGGCTGGCCTCTTGGACACCTGCTTCCACCTGTCCAGTGGAGGATGAGAATCCCCGTACCCCTAAGGCCCTTTCTGGCTGCAAATCTGGGTGTAAACCACGATCGCTCTCACGCTCCCCTCTGTTCCTTCACAGATCAGCAATGCCACCCTCATCATCTTCGTCAGCTACTTCGGCAGCCGGGTGCACCGCCCAAGGCTGATTGGCATTGGGGGTCTCCTGCTAGCCCTGGGTGCCTTCATCCTCACCCTCCCGCACTTCCTCTCGGAGCCCTACCAGTACAGCTTGGTCAGCGCCGGTGAGTGGTCTTGGGGAGAGTGAGACATGGGTGGCATCTCAGGATGCTGGTGGGGATACCCCAGGACTATGGGCACCCCTCTGGACTCCACTGCCCACGACTGACACAAAGTCTCCTTGGCGTTTATCTTGCTTCTCCTCAGACTCTCGCAGAAAACCAGAACCCACAGAATTGTTTAGAGCGTGGAACATTCCCCCATTGCTGGCTGGCTGGAGAGGGTGGTACCTCTCTCTCCTCCCCGCTAATGCCCAGAATTCCTGTGCCAGGGCTCGAACCTGGGTTGGCTCCTTGCAGGGCACATGTACTGTTTCATGGTCCCCATAGAGCTCTTTTGTGAAAAGAAATAAATGAACAATTGCTTCGCTTGACTCTATACTCCCTCCCCGAGGAAGCCTCTATCTTAATGTTGGCACACTGAGGTTCATTGCTCAGCGGTGTAATTGTTCTCTTCCTAGTATTGTGTCTGATTTCTGCAGACCTACTTTCTAATTCCTACTGATGTGCTAGTTATTGTACTTTATTTGTTTTTTTTTTCTTTTTGGGTCACATCTGGCGATGCACAGGGGTTACTCCTAGCTCTGCACTCAGGAGTTACTCCTGGCGGTGCTCAGGGGACCATATGGGATGCCGGGAATCGAACCCGGGTCAGCTGCGTGCAAGGCAAACGCCCTACCCGCTGTGCTATCTCTCCAGCCCCAAGTTATTGTACTTTAAAGTAGGTTAAAAAAAATCATTAGAGGAACCAGAGAGATAGTACAGTGGGTGGTATGTTTGCCTGGCATGCAGTAGACATGGGTTCAATCCCTGGCAGCACATATATGGTTCCCCCGGTTGCCCCCTCCTCCAGGAGTGATCTGTGAGCACTGTCAGGTGTGGCCCCCAAACAAACAAATGGTCATTAGAGGAGCTAGAGCAATTGAACAGAGAGTAAGGGGCTTGCCTTGCACATAGCCCATCTGGTTAAATCCCCAACACCCTATATGGTCCCCTGAGCTCTGCCAGGAGTAATCCCTGAGCTCAGAGGGATCAAAAACAAAAGTCATTAGAGAACAAAGTTAACTTTTTTGGGGGGCGATATTCAGTTCTATCTATATATTTGAACATATTTATAGATTTATGTTAGCACCACAGTCAAGATACAAATCCATGCTATCACCCCAAGATTCCGTTATGCTGTTCCTTTATTTTTATTTTGTTTGTGTGTGTTTTTGGCCACACCCGATGGTGCTCAGGGCTTATTCTTGGCTCTGTACTCAGGGATCACTCCTGGCAGGGGTTGGAGGACCATGTGGCATGCCAAGAATTAAATAGAGGTTGTCCACAAGCAAGGCAAACATTTTATGTAGTGACCTATCATTCCCGCCCCTTGTGCTGTTCTTACATAGCCAAACCTTCGGCTACACGCCTCTGCAGCCCTTGTTTTCTTGCTCATCGGGATTCTTGAGGTTTTGAGACATCATCTCAATAGAAACACAATAGGTAACAGTTGAGACGATTCCTTCAGGCGACATGTCTTTCAGTTCACCCAGGTTGTTGTATATCTCAGAAGCTCCTTGCTTTTGCTTGTTGGGTTATATTCCTTTGTAGGCATTTGCCTTCGTTTATTCATTTGCCTTTTGAAAGACATTTCCATTGTTCCAGTTTGGGTGATTAGAGAGCTATAAATATGTGGGCAGAATTTTGTGTAAATATGCTTTTGATGTAGAACATATTTTTCATGCGCTCATTTCTCGATATAGACTCTTTTCTGAAGTGTCTGCTCAAGCCTTCTGCCCATTTCTCAGTTGGGTTTTTTTGTTTACTTACTTACTTGATAGTCCTTGCAAATTCTGGGTGGGACTGTTAGGTCACCACTCACTGCCCGTCAAAGGACTTAGAGCAGCAAAAGAGTAAAGAGCAGTAGAGACTCATCATTGTGTGTTGGCAAGCTTAAGAGACTTGGCACCCCACAGTGCTGTAACCCCCCTTCGTTTTATATACTGTAAGGGCTATGGAAGCAGGATGAATTTCCCAGTCCTATCCTTATCGAAGGCAAAGCAGACGTACAGAAGCAAAATAGATAGATAGTTTCATCTGGCTTTCCCACCTTCTAATCTTCCAAGTAACTAGTCACGGGGTCAGGGACAGACCTCAGGGCGGTCATGGAGTCCTCACTGGGCAGAATTCATCACTCACATCGACACACATACATGCATGTCTTGGGAAAGAGGTCGCCCTCTTCTTATCAGGTGAGGAGCCACCTGGTGATCTGCTTACTCCAAGGTCTGCTCAAGTCTGCTCTTGGGAGGAAAAAATATTTTCTCCTCTAAAGAAAAGATGTCATGCTCACTATGTTCTTTCAGATATGAGTTCTTCATTGTATACAAATTTGTAATTGTTTTCTTCCAGTCTTTAACTCAATGTTACATTTTTCAGTGGTGTCATTTGTGAAGTCAAATTGTAAGATTTTCATGAAGTTCAACTTATCTTTTTATTCCCTTTTATTACTTTCATGTTTGTTGCCATGTTTCATGTTTTTTTCATGTTTAAGAACTCTGCCTGACTCTACACTCAGAGATCTTTCCTGGAGAGACTCAGGGTGCCAGGTTGGTTGCATGCAAGGAAAGTACCTTCCCCACTGTACTCTCTTCGGCCCCCCAATTGTAAATTTTTATGACTATATATCATCATTTTTTGGACATTTTTTAAACATATATTGAATCGTTCAACATATCTGTCCTATTTTATGGTTTATTGGAACCTCCACATGATTTATATATGTTCCCTTTGGTCACTTCGATTATTCAGATAGTTCTCCTTGGGATTGTTCTGTTTGCTAAAGTTTTGAGAAAGCTAATCATCCCCGTGTGTGGTATCTGCTTTCTCTTGCTCTTGATGACAGTGCATTCTATCCATTGTGTTTGCCTGTCGATAAACCATATTTGTTTGCAGTGTATTTTTTTCCCCTGTGACAATTTTGTGTGGTCTGGGCTGAGTAATAATCCGACTCAAAGTGGGGTTTGCGTTTGCACTTAGCACCCTGGGGAGCATCACTACTCTGGAATGAATTTGATGATAATTTATTGGACTGGAATAAGTGTGCACTTGTTTGGAGGGACCTAGGGAGCGGCAGTGACTGTGACGGACGACAGTGAATGTCTCAGCCCATGTGTGCGCATTCTTAGTTCACTGTATTGTACTTGAAGGTGTCTGAGACTCCTGGCACCCAGAGAAAATTGGTTCCTATTTGCGTGTATACCTGGTTCTTTTTTTTTGAAGTCTTATGTACAGATTTATAGAGAGATGAGTCACTTAGAATGCTCGAAGGGGCTTTGCTCCAGGACGTGAGACATATGTATAGGGGAAAATAGGTTGTTGGGGAAAATGCAGCAGAAATCACCGTAGCTAAAGAAGAAACATCTGCTGGTTTCTCGTGGGGACCTTCTCTTCTCCCCACCTCCCTGCCAGTTACCGACTTGCTACTTCTCATAGATGCATGGCAGTTTGGGGTCTATTGCAGCCACCTCAAAGCCAAGTCCTGCTTTAAGTGGGCACAGGATAAAGACAGAATCTCGTCCAGATCTGTGGCCTGGCCTGGAGGTACGTATGGGCCAGCTCTGCGGGAGGCTTGGCAGCGACTGACTGCCCTCTCAGCGAGCCAGAGCCAGGGCCAGGGCCAGCAGCCACACTCCCATTGCTCGGGACACTTCTCCCTGCCCTCGCATGTGAGCATGAAGATGGGGCTAAGAAAGCCAGCAAAGGGAGCCTGGGGCAGTGGGCGCAGGCCCAGGGAAGGGCATCCTTCCAGGGGCCGCACACGGTGGCCTCCTTAGCCTGCTGGCTGGGCTTCCCGAGGCCCGAGCCACATCTCGATGGCATTTGCTCCCCACAAAGCAGCCGCCACGGAGTGACTGGAGGCAGGCGGGCTCTGAAAGTAATCCCGCCCGTTCCTGATTAGGGACGGCCCTTCCGCTGGGACTCAGCACCGCCAGGACTCTGCTGGAGGGGAGCACTCTGGTCTCCTGATCTTGGCCTCAGAGTCTTCACTAAGTCACTGCCATCGGACTGCAGGGGACCCAGCGAGGGGTCCTGGTGTTACCCACAGGCCTGCAGGGAGGGTTGCTGGCCCGGAGAGTGAATTTTCATGGTTGCTTATTTTCTTTTGTGGGTTCTAACAGTCCCTCTCTCTCAGTCTGGCCGGGGCAGAGCAGCAGCTGGACATGCTCAGGACTCAGTGACCTCTGGGGCATGTACCCCGTGCCAGTGGGTGACTTGAGGAGGACTTTGGCCTAGGAACCACTTCCATGGACTCTAGCTCATTCTGTACTGTGGAGGCAAGGGTTGTATGGGCATGTGATTATGGGCAACTAAAATTATTCAGAATTATAAAACTATTCCCTCTTCTTGGGAAAAGTTTGAAGCACAAACATTTTCGTCAAATGCAGGACAATGAGTTGTGAATTACACGGGTGCGTTAGGAACAAATGCACTTCATTAAATATTCTGTCCTGAACGACATTGTGTATCTGGGGAGGGAGGTTCGCATATTTTTTTGTTTGTTTGTTTTCTGGCTCTCCCCAGAGGTACTGGAGGCTACTCCTGGCTCAGTGCTCAGGGATTACGCTTAGAGGTGCTCATGGTACCGTGGAGTGCCAGGGATCATCGAGCCCAGGGCCCCTGCATGTGAAACATATACTCCAGCTTTTGCACCATCTCCCGAGCCCGTGACAGTGAATCTCAACTGGAGTCAGGAGGTGCTTGGTTTCCCCCCACCCTGGACTTGGGACAGTGTGAACCTTGGGCCGCTCCTCTGCGGTGCTGTGTGTGCACCAGACTAACCCAATCAAATCTGTAAGAGGAGGATGCACTTTCAGAATGTGGCCAGTGGCCCAAGCCAGTGACATGCTTAGATGATGGTTCCAATTCTGGGAACAACAGCTGTATGATGCTGAGTAAACTCGTTCCAGGCTACTGAGGGTCCAGTTTCCTGGGGAAACTGTCACGGCAGCTGGGCAGGGCAG